ACTGGAGACCAGCCAGCTGGAAGTTCAGAGGCTGCCAGGGAATCATCTGGAAACAAAGTCTGCACCTTGGTAGCTTTTAATTATTTTCTCTGCAACATTAATGGCAGCTGAGAGATGCATCTTTGCATTTCTGAGTTGCCTTCAGCACTCCTGAACCTATACGCTTACTGCTTCTGACACCCAGAAAGGGTTCTCCTCCTCCCCATTTCCTTAAATCCAAGCCAATATTTCACTAGCAGCAACTTCTTGCAAACAGTAGTTAAATGGACTCAGTTTTATTCTTTTCTGCCAGGGCGTATCAGTTACATTTGCTAGTTTTACTTGGGTGATAAACTCTCTGGAGTCTTTTAGTTCAGGGTGTGCAAACATTACACAATAGCTTTTCAGTTCAGTAAAACAGCCCTACCTGATGTGATAATACATAGATAACCATGTCAAGAGCAGTATCAAAGAACATTTGTCCATTCCAGGCAGGGTGAATGCAAGAAAACCAATAAATGGTAAAAAAAAGAACATCCAAAGCAAACTATTTTTTTTTTTTCTGGGGTAGATAGTGTTGGGCCTTCCATGTTGGACCTCCTGGATTATGTCTGATTGACACACCATGGAGTCCTTGGCAAAAAAAAAGGCAAATAGATAAATTCAGGTATAGGCAAAATGTTCTCCAAGACAAGATGGTGAAAACCACAAGAAATGAGACTATTACAAACAAATCACAGAAGAAAAAGTAACTTTTGTGATCTGAATTCTAGAGGAAAATGAACCACATGATAAGCCTGTTCCTTGGGAAAAAAACACTTGTCTTCACTCAATTGTTCATGCTAACAGGCTAGAAATTTACTATAGCATGGAAAAATCTGACGTGTTTAGAAGACTGAGAAAACCATAACTGAAACGCTTGGACTGAGTGTACCACAGATAATGAATATATCAACTCAGGTCCAGGTCTCAAACTGTGTCTTAGAACAGCACAAGATATTGAATACAGGTCAGTGACCTGCAGTTCAAAAGCTTGCTTTCACCCAAATGATGAGGCTGACCTGTCAGCAGTACTAGAGATTTTCAAAATAAAAATTGGTACTCGGCACTGGTGAGGCCCCACCTTGAGTACTGTGTCCAGTTTTGGGCCCCCTACCACAAGAGGGACATTGAGGTGCTGGAGCGGGTCCAGAGAAGGGCAATGAAGCTGGTGAGGGGTCTGGAGCACAAGTCTTACGAGGAGAGGCTGAGGGAACTGGGGTTGTTCAGTCTGGGGAAGAGGAGACTGAGGGGAGACCTTATCGCTCTGTACAAGTACCTGAAAGGAGGCTGTAGAGAGACGGGGGTTGGTCTCTTCTTCCAAGTTACAGATGATAGGACAAGGGGTAATGGCTTCAAGTTGCGCCAGGGGAAGTTCAGGTTGGATATTAGGAAACATTTCTTTACTGAAAGGGTTATCCAGCATTGGAATGGGCTGCCCAGGGAGGTGGTGGAGTCACCATCCCTGGAGGTATTTAAGAAACGTGTAGACATGGTTCTTCAGGGCATGCTCTAGTGCCCAAGATTACTGGTTTGTGGTGGGGTGCTGTGTGGGTGGGTGATGGTTTTTTGGTTTGGAGGTTGTTGTTGTGTGTTTAGGTGGTGGGTGCTGGTTTTTTTTGGTTTTTTTGGTTTTTTTTTGTGGTTGGACTCAATGATCTCTGAGGTCCCTTCCAACCACTACAATTCTGTGATTCTGTGATTCTGTAAGCAAAAAAATCCACCAACATCCAACACTAAACCAGCTAAATTATATTAAGACAGATAGTACTAGAGTCATTTAAGCTCTACTTCTGCTACAGAGCCAACACTTTATATTCAACAATTAGTATGATCATCTGTGTGCACAGTGAGTGAAATAAGTAAGGAAAGAGATGCTGACTAATCAGAAATCATCAGAAACAAGGAAGACCTAGTCAGATAAGTATTTGGGAGCCAGGAAACTACTAAACAATCATGAAAGGTCTAGGATAAACCAGCTTTGCTCTGAGAATTATAATTCCATGTGAAAAAGAGTGTTTCCAAAAAAGTTGGAAAGATGAGAACCAGAAGAAATCATCCCATTTAGAATAATATGGTATATTGCAGTTAGCCATGATGGCAGTGCTATGGTGAGCACAGATACTGTAGAGGGGGATCAGCAGTTGGAACAACTGAAGAAAACCACTCAAACCCAGGACGGATTAGAAACTTCCTTAAGGAACTAAAAATCTATAAAGTGTGAGGCAAACTGTTCATACGTCTTTTTGAATTTTACTGTTATAGCTGAGGCCATGGACTGGTTAAGTCTTGCAGTTGTGAGACCACTCAAAAAGCCATACCAGAAATGTGAAGGACAACCAGAATTAGAAAACAAGATCAGCATGAGGTGAATAGTAAGGAGCAAATAAACAGCACTGAAATATTTCCTACTAATTGGACCTTCTTCCCTGACCTTGGCAGTATCAGATGCCATTTAGAGCTAATCATTTGCTCTTCTGGAGGTGCTGTAATTAAAACTGATCATTTTGACTCGAGTTCTGCTTGGTCAGCAAAGTCTTGTTTCCATGTCCACAGCAAGGTGTGGCAGCAGTATTTGTCTTGCAAGACTGAAAGTGCCAAAATACGTTCTGGACCTTAATGGAATTCAGCTAAAATTTGATCAGCATCTAGATCCACACGGGAGAGCCCCATTTGAGTAGTCCTGCTACTAAGGGTTTTAAAAATGCATCAGAAAAAGATTGCATAAAGTGTGGTGAAATATCTCATTGCATTCATACAATACAATTGTATATATAAACGCAATACAATTGCCTTGTCCTGACAGGTCCAGAGGCAATGGGTGCAAACTGACAGACAGGAGGTTCCCTCTGAACATCAGGAAATACTTCTTTCTGTGAGGGTGATTGAACACCTCCACAGGTTGCCTGGTGAGGTGGTGGAGTTTCCCTCTTTGCATATGTGCAAACATCGTATCTCCAAAAGCCACGTAGAACCTCAGCAACCCACTCTAGGTGGCCCTGCTTGAGCAGAGGGGTTAGAATGGTCCATTCAGCCTGAATCATTCTGTGATTCATAGAGAAGATGAATCAAATAGAAGAATTATCTTTTATCTGTTTTTTCTCTTTTTTTTTAAGGGAAGTTGTCTAATTAGGGGGGGACGGTGGGTACTGTGTGAAATTTTTTACATGCATAAAAGAAAAAATAACCTCCTTGATGACCTTAGATTTTGCTAGCTGTCTGTCCGAATACTTAAGGGCCAGTATTGAATGTCCCCCAGGTCCAGAGAGCCATGAGGAGCCATGGCCACAGAGATTATCACAAACAGAAAACATGGGGCACTTGGACAAATATGAAAAGGACTGATGTCTCCATCCCACTCCTTCTGTCTGGCTGATGAGGACTTCCATCCACTGGTGAAACACTGACATGGAAATACAGTGTGGATGCCCTCAAATGTGCGGTCCTCCCGGTAGCTGTCCCCACACCGCCTGTATCCCCATTAACATACAAGTCCCTGCAGCTTGCTGCCATGCTCCAGCTGCCTGTGCTCAAACCTCTTAACCTACTCAACAGCCAGTTCAACTTGAAGTTCATCCAAACACAGAAAGAGCTCACCCACACATAAGGTATGATTTACTGAGAACATGGGGCCAATGGTGCAGGGCATGGCCAAAGAAGCATGCTGACCTGAAGCCTGCTTACATGCAACCAGCCACCTTCATCCACTTCATCCACTTTATTCACTTTACCCCTTTAATCATATATATATCAATAAACATCTTAGGGTAGGATTCATCCCACTTGAGCTTAGCCTCCTATAACTAGGTGTCTAACATAAATCGCTCAAGCAAGCTGCCCCTCCACTCAGTCTATCCCCAGGCACACACCTCAGGCTGGGAGGAATTGCATTCCTGAGCTCCCATCTGTCTCTCCTTAATTCCAACCAGGAGCTTTGATTAGTCTGCTTGCTTAACTTCGAAATATCTAACACTGATTGAAAGGAATGTGTCCTAGTGGCCAAGAAGGCCAATGGCATCCTGGGGTGCATCAAGAAGACTGTGGCCAGCAGATCAAGGGAGGTTATCCTGCCCTTCTACTCCATGTTGGTGAGGCCCCATCTGGAGTTCTGTGTCCAGTTCTGGGCTCCCCAGTTCAAGACAGACAGGGAACTGCTGGCGAGGGTACAGCAAAGGGCCACAAAGATGATTAAGGACATGGAGCATTTCCCTTATGAGGAGAGGCTGAGGGACTTGCGTGTTTTTAGACTGGAGAAGAGACAGCTGAGGGAAGATCCGATCAATGCCTGTAAGTACTTAAAGGGTGGGTGTCAAAAGAATAGGGTCAGTCTTTTTTCAGTGGTGTCCAGTGACAGGACAAGAGGTAACAGGCACAAACTTGAACAGAAGAAGTTCTATCTAAACATGAGGAGGAACTTCTTCACTTTGAGGGTGGCAGAGCACTGGAACAGGCTGCCCAGTGAGGTGCTGGCATCTCCATCTCTGGAGACAATCAAAACCCACATGGACACATTCTTGTGCAATCTGATCTAAATGTACCTGCTTTCGCAGGGGGGGTTGAACTAGATGATTTCCAGAGGTCGCTTTCCAACCCCATATCATTCTGTGATTCTGTGAATCCTAGCTCTAGGAACAGAAATGCTTTTCCTCATGGACTCCTGGCTGGTAGGACTCTGTGTAGGGTGATGTACAGCATGAAGAGTCAGAAGAATACGGCAGAAAAAATAAAACGACACAATTTTGTATCAAATGTAAAAGCCACATTGCTCTTTGGTAAGCTAGCAATCCTGATAATTACATACATATATACACATCAGCATGTTAAATGCCGTTCTGTTATTTGCAGAAACAGAGATTGTTCAGGGGCTGAGGTTTGCTGACTAATGCCGAAGTACTTACACATACCATATATTTCCTAAAGAAAAAGTGTTTCTAGTGCAATAACACTACATTCTTTCCAACACCATTACAGATTTCATTTTCTTAACACCGAAACCAGAAATTTGTCTTTAGGAGGCGTGTAACTCTCTTCTTGCCAAGGTCAAACTCAAATTGCTTTCTTCCATGCAAATAATAAGGAAAAAAACCCAGACAAATTATGATATTACACGTGTAAAGATTAGTATGCTTTAACAACATCCATAAAGAAATCAAAAAAACCTTCAGATACATGTACGCTGCCAACAGAATCTGCTCCCAAGTGTAACCTCTGCAAAACGGTGCACAGCAGCATGGGGACACCTTCCATAGCAAACCAGCCATGCACACACTGCATAATATATTTAATGAATCCCATAGGGTGACCCTACAAAAAAATTTTCTTGTGTGTTTCTGCAGTTTAAAATATCTGCTGCTATGCAATGGCTGTGTTGAAGCCCTCCAGGAGGGTGTATTTCCAGCCACGCGTGGGTAGGTATTGCACAGCCTGGAGTGCAGCACAGAGCATGGCAGGGTGTGAGCAGGTATGAGCTTGCTGGGGTGCCACCAGATACTGTGCAGGGAAGGAGAGATCCAGCCTGATGCCGCTCGGTCCACGCGACCCTCTGGGAGTCAGTGCGGCAGTTAAGGACCCCCAGCACCATATGTAAGACTCATTCTGGAGGAAGACGGTAGATTTGCCGGGAAGCAATTAACATGCATGGGGTTTGATGATCAGAGAAGCCAGAAGACAACTGGGAAGCCATGCCATTTGGCAGAGTGGACCTGTTCCAGCATCTCCCTGTCTAACAACATTGTCCCTCATGCAGGAGAAGCTAGTGTCAATTATTGTTGTCAAAGCAGTGCAATTTATGCCAGAGGACCAGGCTGTGACAGCCTTGCTGACAGCAGATAGACCTTATGTTGCTGAGTGTGCTGTCTTGAGTGGTGCTCTTCATGGCATGAGGTGCATATCATCATGAATACAGACATATCATTCTGTCCCCTAGAGCTGGCCTTTCCAGCTGAGAAGCTGTCACCAAAGGTATATCATCACTATGTTTCAAGGGGGTAAAGTAAAGCACAGGAGTGTTATGTGACTATTTCATGGACTTGTTGGTCATCCTGAGGACTATGAGCAGCATTTAGAAGTGCCTCTCTTTGTCCAAGCACTCTCAGCCCTATGACCATGAGCATTTCATAGGATTTTATCAAGATCAGCTACTCACTTTTATGTTGAAAAACAGCGTTGATCCTGCCATTAATTCCAGGAAATGCATCTCTTACTAGCATGGGATTCCTGTCCATAGACTGACTTCTTTTATCATACCTCAGAGAAATGATAAGCAATCTGGTGTCAATGAAAATTCCAAGCAACTCATGACTAACTCATTACCTTGTACCTACCAACAGTTAACTGAGTTCATTGAAGATTGTCAGGATCATTCAGGTAGCATGCTTATCAGGAAAAATCTGTTGGTTTGACTTTTTTTTTCAAGTTATGAGTTATCTTACTTTAGTTATTTATAGCAGGCTGTTACATTTTTAGTGAAGTGCAGTTTATCTGGCAGTGCTGGAATAAGAAGCCTTCTGAAACCATTTTCATTCTGATACCTTTGCTCAGTAAGAGATTTAATTATCAAACTGCTCAGCTGAACTCCTTCAAGCTATGGGAGTTTGACCTAAAATGTGAAAGTCTGATCTTCTGCTTAAACTACAAATATGCGGCTGAAAAATTATTCCAGGATAACCTCTGTATGTACAATGACTTGGGAATTGTGGTGGCAGGAAAGAGAGAAACTGTGTCACTCATCTGCAAAAGTTCAGGTTCCCTGCTGTTCCTGTTACAGGAGCACCACTTCAGTTTTTAGAAATATACATCCTGTAACACAAACCTGAGCAGCAGCATCAGATGTTTCTTTGGAGTACATGGCCTTTATCAGCAACTTTATGAAACTATCTGTCAGTAACTGGAAAAAGGGTGGGACACTTGTTCTTACCCCACAGACACATTTTTGATATAAATAGTGAGGTTCTGATGGATTTCCTGAGCTCATTTGTGGAGCTACAGGATGGCTTTTTCCCCCAAGACAGTTAAATGAAAATAAATAAAGAAATAAAGAAAGACACTAACTGTTAAATAATTAAATCAACTAAAAGGAAAGTTAAAAACATCCTTTCTCTCCCCTCTCAAATATTTTTCCATAGCCAGTTGTGACACTGAAAGACATTGCTGAAGTTGTGTGAGTAATGCATCCTAAATCATGACAGGATATTGATCATGTGATTATGTTTGCTCCTATTTGGGAAAGTAGCACAGGAAATATTACCTCCAAAATTTGTCCACTATGAAGTAATAGGCTTTCCCCTCATTTGCATTATAAAAAACAGCACCTATTTTGGTAACATCCTTTGAAAAGCCCAGGGTGTAGATTTTCTGGGGAAGTATCCAGGAAGTATGGTATCTCCTCTCACAACCCAGAATTCATTCCCTATCAAGAAAAGTTGATGATAACACGTTATCAGAATCTTGTGGGAATGATACAATCCTTTTCATGAAAGCTAGTATTTTAATGGAAAAATACAGAGAAAATAATAGTTACTTGAAAAACAGTGTACTTGTTAGTTTTAGAGTAAAAAAAAAAAAAGAGGCAAGAATAGTTCTTCATACCACTTTCTACGCAAAATAAATTTCAGTCTTCCTTCGTACTTATGTTAGTTTTCCACAAGCTAGGAAGAAGCATGTATGATAATTTTTAAATTCAAGAGGTAATCTTCTGAAAAAAATATAGATAATGACATTTATTTTGGCAGAGAAGCTTTTCTATATTGACATAGAAAATAAGATACATTTTCCTTATCTTGGGTAATATTATTTTTAATCTCTGTCATTGATATACACCGACTTACTGGACTAAACTCTCAAGGCGACTTGGAAAGACAACATAGGAAAATAATGAGACAACAATTTACCTTTAAAAATGACGGTTTTGTCTTTTTCAGGAATTTCATATGCAGCATCAACACCAGGTGGCAGCCATGGCCAGAACGAAGTTACTAAATTAGAATCAGCTGTTTTGACTGCAGGATACTTGCACCAAAAATGCCTTACATAAATATAGAACAGGTTTTAAATAAAATCAGACATTCATACACACTAATGCACGAAACCACATCATGGCAACCAGGGAAGGATTTATCTGACTAAACCCAGCCATGTACCCTGACTGTGTCATCCTGAGCTCCCTGTAATGTCAACAGAAAGTAAATTATTTCATTGGTGGGATTCCTTTCATCTTGATGCAGACATCTAAAATAGGTCAGATGAACTGTTTTGTCAAAACAGTTATTATTTTCCCTCATGCAGAAAGACAGAGAGAGACCGGGGTGACATGGCTGGTGTGGGGTAAGGTTTTAGGAATGAAACTCATCCCTGGGGTTACCAACACCAGCTTAGAGAAATGGTCCTTGTGTGTGAGGATCTTTCGCAAAATAAGACTTTACTGGCTTTGCGGATTCAAAACTCTGAGGTCAAACCTCACTTTAATGTTGATGTTGGGTTGATGTCTGAAGCAGGGGAAGCACAGCCTTAACACATGAAAAGGAGGGGAATGAGCCCTCATGTACCCCTTCTCCTCAAGTCTTTGGGCTGTCCTGCCCTGGAGAGAGACAGTTTGTCTGAGTTTAGCACTGAATCAATTATCCTTCCTTTTTTTTGTTGTACTAAATAATGACTGCAGGGGCTCTTCAAGCAGCTATTCTGTCAGGACTGGTAAACCCTCAGCTCTCTAAAGGCAAGGTGCCTTTTGCCAAAGCTGAAGTCTCCCAGATACCAAACACTTGCTTACATCGTGAAGTGAAAACAGACCATGTTTTTAGAGGAGCCATCTTTCCCCATCTTATTCATAGCAAAGTGAACTTCCTCTTTACACCTATCTCTCAGTTCTCCACCACTATCTTTGGGTTTCCCTCCCACCTCTTATCCCTATTCCCTGTCTTGCCTCCCTGCCTAGAATGGCTGATACTCCGGGTAAGATTACTTTTCTATGCTGTGGGGAATAATTGAAAAATGATACCCAGCCCTTTTACTTTCAGAAAGCCAAATAACTTGTCTTTGAAGAACATTATTTCTCCACGGAAAGTGGTGACAGCATCAAAAGTTAAATCGGGACCACAGGTGTTTGGCAGTGCAGGATCTTTTGACTCAGTTGGGTCTTTTATCTCAGTAGATTCCCTTTGGTCATAGTGGGTGTTAGAAGATTGTCCTAGAAGAAGCAGTTTATGGAAGAAATTAAAGTGAGAACTCATTCAAGTATATCCAGTACACAAACTTGTCACTGAAAGGTACTCCAAAGCCTTTGAAATTATAAGCATGAGTTGATTAATAGTTGTGAATTACCGTAGAGGTACTGAATGCCATTAATATTATCCTGATTAAGAGGGAATACTGAAGGGTCAAATTTCCAATAGACTGGGTTCATCAGAGCATTGGGGCCTTTGGAATGGAAAAGCCCCAGTGAATGGCCAAACTCATGTGCAGCAACATAAAACAGGTTCATACCTGAAAACAACAAACAAAACACGTAATAGGAGAGCTGTGTCTTTTCATTTGCTCTGAAAACATGATTGACATAAGGTAGGTCAGAAGCTTTCAGAACTGCTTGCCTAAGCAAGTGAAGCTGTTATGGGAAATTCAGTTGGAAATGAAATTCTGGCCAGAAAGAAAAACAATGAAATCATTGCAGCAGAATACAAAGAAATGGTCTGTAAATCCTGTAGAACTGAGGGTGGGAGAAGGACCCTGGACCAGTGCAGGGGATATAACTGTGCGGGGAGAGACAAGCAGATTGGAGGAGTGGGGAGAAGGGGGCTGCCAGATCCCTCAGCTCCCTCACATATAAATCTCAACCCGGACCATGGCAGAAGTTCAGCTGGAGCCTTAACTTTTTAAACCAGAGGGCTCAGAGATATTTTATAGCTATGGAAACCAGCTGCCCAATGGTCCTTAAAATGAGACCCATTTTTAAGCACTTCTTAAGGAATAGAGGAGACAAGACACTGCACCCTTGATTTCATGTACAGCCTGCTTCAGGGAGGGCTTGGAGAACTTAATTTCTTACCTTCTGTGCTTTTGGTCCAAGTTTCAATCTCCTCAAAGTGAGCATCTCCACCAAAGTCCTTTCCAGATGCATAGGCATGAGCAACTGACCCTCCTGGACCATCAAATGGGATGAAGGCGTTGTGACCTGAGGAGCAAGTCACATACACAGCTGACTGGGATTATGGAGGTAACAGATCTCAGCCATGCACAGGACACTCTCTGTTCAGCTGATTTTGTAAACTTTTAAGTTCCCCTTCCACACGAATTTGCCAAAAGCTCTACTTTTCACAGGGAAAACTTAGTAAAATTTGAACTGATGCATCAGGAGTTTAATTTTGGTTTCCTCAAGAAATGGGTGGACGTTGACATACTGTTGTTGCAAGGGAAGAGGAGGAGATGGTTTAGGTTGGAATATATTTCCTTGTTTTGTTCATAACGTAAAATTTTCATAAACTCTGTGTCAGCAGCCATTAGGTGGTTACCTGAACCTGACTGGTAATTTAAGTGTTGACAGCAGAATCAAGATCCCGGAAAGACTGTAAGCCCTTGAGTGTAGTCTCCAGAAAAGATTTAAGGACACGGAGGTTACCTACGGTGCCTGCACATTGTGCATAGCCCAGATGGGTGGATTTGTTTGGGTGGGAAGAGAGTATCCGCCTAGAATAGCGCATGTGTGCATGACCGTTAATGAAAGAAGGAAGGCTGCTGGTAAGTCTACCCTGAGGGAAATGCCAAAAATATAAACCTCGAGTCTGTCTAGAGCTTATTTAGCCCTCACAAAGCACATGACTAATCCCAGGAGTGCAACTAGAGCTACCCGCTCCCTAACGCTCTGAGTCTGGGTCTGTCCCACAAGCCCTAAGCCTCTTGTGGTTTGTGCACACTTTGGGCATCATATACAAGGTACAGATACAGTGAACTACAGACAGCTTGTCACATTTATGTTCTTCCTCCTTCCCTTCATCTGCCTTTATATCCTCCCTGAAAGATCTTCAAAAAATTATAGCCATAGCACCTTGAGCAGGAACTGTGTTTTTCTGTTTGTTCAACCCACCACTTTGCACATATGAACTATGAGAAGAAGTCATGAGCATTTCAGATCGACTGCTCCATACAGGCAGTAACTCGGCAATAACTCATAATGGTTATGTAGAGCTTCACCTCTGGTTGCAAAGGAGATCATTATGTCTGCATCCCCTCTGTCCTTCTTGATGAATTTCAGTTGGGTGACACTGCTCCAAACACTTAACCCTTTCTTGATCACTGCATTGTCATCTGCCGGGTGCAGGTCTGGTGTGTAGTTTAATATCCTTTAAAATATAAGATAGAAAACCAGTTGTGTTCTTACAACTTACACCATGTAACAGACTGTCTTTACATTAAGAATTCCAGTATAATTACCTGTATGTCAGAACTTGTTTTGCCCATTTTGGCTCTCCTGCGAAGGTGGAGAACCCTGCTACATCAGGGAATCCCCAGCAACGTTTCTGTGCTAGGTCCATAGTGCCAGAATCCAGTTTCCCTGTCACCTCCAGTCCAAAGAATTCCTGCATTTCTTTCATTTTTTGAGTCATTGGACTATTATTTTTCCAAATGAAAGCTTCTCCATCTTTCTTAAATCCATAGTAATTTTCCAGGTACTTCTACAGAAAAACAAAGCATTTTAGGACAGTCAATGGTGTTTGCTTTTGAAGCACATAAAAATTATGCTAACACCACTTTAGACATTTACCTTTGCTACTTTGCTTTCTTTTCCATGGGATTATGGGTAATAGAGCTTGTTAAAGCCTGTATTAATATTTTTGTCTAAATTTTTTTGGATTGTATTATCACTATAAATGTTTTGTAGTTTACTCACAATACATTCAAAACAAGCATTTGTCAAATAAATTGCTTATTTTCTGGTAACATACCCTCCACTTACCCTGTGCTCTATGGTTACACAGAGTCCTTTAGAGCGGGCAATGCAGAAGCTGTTTGAAATTTATGACCGAATACAAAATTTCAGCAGTAGTATCCCATTTACCCACACTTTTTTGACAGTAATAATTCAGACAAAACAATAGGCTTATTTTATGAAAAGTTATGTTTCGTAATACCATAAGTATCCACATTTCCATCTGAACTACAAATCAAACTCAGGTGTTTAATTATTCGTAGAATCAACACATAAGTGGATGCATCATCAACTTTAATTGTTCCCTACGGAAAAAAACCACAAAACCAACCAAACAAGAATGAGTCAAGGTTAAAGCAGCCTTTGTCATCACGGTACAGAATGCAGCCCCCTCTATTTTGAGAAATGCTCAATCATGTTATTCATTGTACTGGAATTTGCAGAATGAGCTCCTCAGCTGCTATATACTAGTTCCAGAGACTGCAGTAGATGCTCAACAGTTGCTAAAGATCTCCTCCCCAGAGGTCTACTTTCCTCACCTGGATAAGCTGCATGTCTCCTTCTTTATTCTGTCTTGTATCTGCCAGAAAAGCACAAGAAAATGCTGCATATAATAACAGGAGAAATGGGACATTGTCCATTCTTGTTTTCACTTGCCTTTAGAAAAGCGTTCTTTGTAGTCTACCACACACTTGCTTCACCTTTATATAGTACATTTGCGTTATAAAGCTTTCCAATCCCTGACTCACTGATTGTCACAATTTCTAGTTAGCAACAAGGCACATGCAAAACGATGGTTTTATCATAAAAAATATGGTTTTAGGGCTTTCTTTCATTTGGTTCCACCCTTGTGCAGGTTTTGCAACAGGGAAATATGATTAATGAGGAGATAATAGACCTGTAGTTCTTTTTAATAAGCTCATCAACCTTTTAGTTATTAAAATGTAGCTTTATTTTCAAAAAAACTTAAAGCACATCTCTTTAATGTTTTCCATTCAAAGTCTCTATTGATTTTAAATGGGTTGTTGAAGTACTTAAAGTGAAAAACGTTCACAGAAGGTTGCAGGACTGTAGACTACAACTAGAAAAAAAATTTCTTTTTTTTTTTTCAGTTGTCTGTACAGGAGCATGTACACTTGGAGATTATTATAGTGCCATAATCTCTCCCTTTGGGCAAGTCCTTAAAAATTGGAAGCTTAATGCTGAAACTCCCTGCTTGCTGAACTAGTGCTTCATTCATGCAGTTTTTCTCTGCTAAAATTCTTACCTGGATGAAACTTCTATTTGTCTGGAGGAAAATGTGGATTTTCCACAAGGAAATGAAAACACTTTTCTTAGCATAGCTAACCTCATTATAGAAATTGAGCCAAGGTGTTTTCATGCCACTTTTATTTAGCAGTTTCCACTATTCTCAGAGAATTGCCCAATTACTTCATATTTCATGATCTCCTTCTGTTACACTTTTTATAAGGTATTAGAATGCATTCGCTTCAGAAGAGAAGGTCCTCTCTTCTCCATGTCTGCCATTGGCTGCAAGAAGTGCTGAGATTCAACATCAGGTCTATTCTAATGCTGGGTCCACTTTTGCTCCACGCCCCATCACACCCTCCACACACTGCCACAAATAAGAACAAAGCAGAGGTGACAGTGAAGGTCCCAGGAATCCTGAAGAGAGGTGTCTACAGCCATTGGAGACAGCCTTCCGTATTTGAGACTTCTGCATGGGGCTGACACAGGACTGAGGGTACACCTGCAGCACTGCAGGGCAGGTGGGACATTGCATGTGCAGAGAAATAAACTGCCTTCCACAGAGCTGACAGGATAACAGAGCTGTGAAAGGAGAAATCATAAATACATTGCACACTTGAGCTGTTTGGTGAAGTTGTCTCCTGCTGAAGAGCACTGTGGTGGTACCAGAAGGATCCCCAGAACACAGCATGCCATGTGGCCATCCACAGTGGGAAATTGGGCACTGCTAGGTCTGGGCAGTTGAGACAGGGCCAGACCCTGGGAAGGCTGGAGGGGCTCTGCAGGGGTTGTCTGGCCACTGAGGACTCAGTTCCTGCCCTGAGACCAGACACCTAACCAAGGCATTCATGTTAGAGCAGGGGGTCCCTCCCTGGAACTGGAAGGACCTGGAACTGGACAGGCTTGGGGAATGACCCAGAACTAGGGTGGTTGAGCCAAGGGGAAGTGATCCCCTGAAGGAACTTTTGATAATGACTCTATTCACATAGACATGGTAGTTGCCCCTAAAGGAGTGGGTGAGGTGAATCTGAAAATTGGGTGCAAAGTTTCCCTGTGCAGCTTACGCACCCACAATACCCCCCTGCAGAAATAGCTTCTGGTACTTACAGCCCCGCTATAGCTTTCCAACTCTGTTCTCTTCCCACACAGTGTCTCTGTGTACAGTGTTTCTATGGTTCTAGAGGAGAGAAGTAATTTTCCAGACTGAACAACTTGATAATTTTTCCTCACCCATCTTTCTCTCTAATCAAAGGGCCATTAGAAGCCATCAAAACCATCTAGGGACCTACTGATGAAATTTATAGTTTTCTGATTAGCAGTCTTCTCAAATATGTCCTTTCGCTACTCTGTCAACCTCTTTCTCACTTTTCTTGAGACGATTCACCATTGTCCTCAAGAGATCAATCACCTCCTCTTGCATTTTCCAAACACCTAGAATGTGCTTTATGAAGAAAATTCTATAATCAATAGAAATCTCTGATGTTGTCCTTTGACGTGATTTAATCCAGAAGTAGTACAACATAGAATGACAATCTCTTGCTTTGGCTTAAAGAGGTAAGTGTGAAAATTGCTATGTTCTCCTTCTTTCAACCTTTAAAAGTGCCCGAATAATCTCTTAAAATTGCCTTTATCTTTCCCTCTTTCAGAGTCAATCTTCTGCCTTGGATGCACTCCCGTAGCCCTGCCCCTGCAGGGTACCCCTGTACCAGAGAGAGATGTAACACTCACCAGAAGTGTTAAAATAATGTTTTTTTGTAAGGTTATTAATAATAGACATCTTCTATATTAGAAAACTAACGCCTACTGTAATATAGAGAAAAGAAAAGTGAAACAATATCTCACAGAGCCTCAACAGGATGTAATTAAGTTGTCTCTTCTGCCAAGAGCAAACAATTATGTGGAGCTTGAAACTTCCCTACTCTGCTGTCTGACAGTGTCCTGGCCAGGCTGGACTAGGGCAGCAGTGGAGGACCCCTGGCCAAAATCTGGGAGAACAGGTCTCTGCATGGGAAGCTTCTGAGCTGCAAAGAGCACCTTCAGCCTGCGCCACCTGCAAGTCCTGCTGAACCCAGCACCTTCAGCACCTCTTTCCTGGCTGAGCTGCAAACCCTCAGACCTGGCTGCACAAACCTAACCTCCAAAATATCATATTGCTGATGAAGGAGAGTGTGTGATCTACTTCTGGCTTTAATATAACAGTCATCTGTCTCCAGCAGGGTAATGCTGATTCACTGACAGGGCCCCTCTTGTCCCAGTCAGCTGGCGCACAGGTCGCCCTTCCTCTCCAGTGTGGAGTATTCAGTGCCTCCTGGCAGCTTAATTCTTCATTTTCCCCTTGCTTGTGGCAATGCTATCTGTCCCTGTGAGTGGTTCCTTCTTTGTATGCAAAACCTGTCCAGGAAGATTTTAAATCCCGAGCACAGAGAACAGCATTGGACATATATTTCCAAATTTCCTCTGCAACCACAGCAGCCATCTTGAAAATCAAGCCAGGAAGAGGAAATACAGAAGATCCTTGTCACATCTCCAAAGACTTCTGTGTAACACACTCCACCTTCCCAAAAAGCAGCATAGGACAGCTGCTGCTCGTGTGACTGAACCAGTCTTCCATCTGCAGAGCGAGTGCTTGTGACCAAGCTGTTAGAGGGGCCCAGCTCTGGAGCCCACTGCTCTGCTGTGGCTTTTAGAAGTGCCCAGTGTATGTGACTGAAGTGCCAGGAGATCAGGCACTCCCCAGACTCTTTTTGCTTCCCTTGCTCCTGATATTTCTGTGTTAGACTGTACCGTTATAAGCTTGCACAGCTAGTACTCTGTAAGGGCCCTATTAAACTGTCAGTGAAGTCATTAAAGACATTTTCAATGGAGTTTTCACATGCAAAAGATTGGGTCTGGGACAACAGTTGTGCAGGCAAGAATTTCAGACGTAAATGGTGCTTTTTGTGCATCTCTATTTTTGCATGCCTGGTCTCAGGCTCCAGGAAAAGTTTGTATTCACAGAGGATGAGTACTTGTAATTATGTTTATGGACAAATTTCCCCTGCTGGTATCCAAGAGGCCTTTAATTCCAGCAATCGTTTATAAGTTATAATAAAGCCATGGTTACAGGAAATCTTCTCCTGCCCGCTAAGTGTGGACAGGCAGCTCCAGCACTCCTGTTTCCAAACCTATCTGAATTACGTATTATTAAGCCATTTGCCAGGAATTTCTTTGCTTTTCCCAAACCAAAAGTAATGCTCTTTCGTTGCTAAAGTTTAAGACATTATGACAAAGCAGAAATACAGATGGAAAACCCATGATTAACACATTTCATCAGTCCCCTTGTCCAGGTGAAATCTATGCCATGTTGTCTTCCATTTATGGTCCAGGTTACACAAAACACAGGATACTTTCTAGCTTCTCCTTCACAGTGAATATCATTAATTTTCCAGATACTAGCAGTTAAAGCTAATTAATACCTGGAGCATTTTAATTTAGGTGTTTCCTTGAGGTCGTAACTGAAAAACACTACCAGCCTTATGTAAGAGAAATAAGTTAATATAATGGCCAAGATGAGTCATTTTAAACATCATCAATGTTCTGCTCCGCTGTTGCTGAAATGTTTTTGGTTTGTCCTTAGCCTCTTTCAAGTCTCCATCATCACTCAGAGCCCAAAGGCCTGATTTCTGAAGGTAGCTTTCACATACCAGAAGGTATCTAGTTAGGATATCAAAGTGTGTGGGCGCTTTTAAAATCAAAGGGAATTAACTCCATTATTTAAGTACAAGCAGTACTCACAAGTGCCCTGCCTAACCCCGGAGGCATCCAAGTCTTTGGGCTGAATTTTCTTCTGGACAAATTGTGTACACAGAACAAGCTATTGAGAAAGACACTGGGAGATGTTGGGGCAACATCAGTTTTCCTGTGCCTCTGCCCTGCCTGGACTGCTGCCAGGTGAGCTCACCCGCTTGTCAGTTCATGACTTCACTGTGGTGCACCACTGCCCTTGTGGCAATGCTGAGCTCTTCGGTGCCTACATGACTTTTAAGCCCTGCTGAGATTCACAGCTTAATTTCTCACCTCGGTTAGTTTTGGGCTTTGCTTTAGCAGTCCTCAGTGTATATCTAGCATGGCACAAGGCAGGCATGAGGGGCAGAACATGGCAGAGAAGAGGTTTTCCAAGATCAGACATGGCAGCATTTCAACTGCCCGTCCCCGGTCTTGTCTGCTAGCACAGTGGGTCTTTGGGTACATAAGGAGACACATGTCTTCCTCTGGGCCTGATGGATGGTGTGCAGATGTTAGTGGGTGTTTTGACAAGATATTTCTGAGGGTTCTGCCCCGTGAAGAAGACATGGAGCAAATCTCACCTCTGCCTAACAGGGTTAGAGCTGTGATGACCAGAAGCCTGTCCTTG